ACACACACACATACACACACACAAATAAAATCTTTGAATATCGCGATCTCGTTATCATATTGATGTGTTGAGCGTAATCTGCCGCCGCTGGCTTCCACGTGGAAAGCTGTTACTCTGTACTTATTTCCATGGCAATTTGAAGATACATTTCAAATTAAGCTCATCAAGAAATCCTCTTGTTAGCTTCTCGTAACTTTCGTGTCGCGACGGAAATTCTCGAGCAAAAGTTTTCGGACAGAAGATCTTATTATCGCTTAAATTTATGATGTTAGCGATATTGTCGAGCGAGTAGCAAGATACCTTAACAGATATAAGAAATCTAGCATCTTCGCGAGAAAATAATGAACGTAGTCAAAACAAGCCGTGCTCTAATCTCTTCGAGTCTGTTTTTTCGAGTCTTCGTAAATGCTTATGGCACGACTTACAATTTAATAAAATTAAACGGTATCCGGCATTCTTCTCATATATAATCTTAATTAAGATTAAAATCGGAGAGATTTCAAATATCCTTTGCAATATTAAAAATAGCCACGAATAAGCATAATGATAGAATTAATTTTTATTTGCTCGCTACCGTATGTACAAATAAAATTTAATTAAAAATAATCTATAAAATAAAACTTAATTAAAATTTTAAGTATCGGGGGAGAGTGAAGGACTGCAGATAAATGACCCAGCAACGTGTGAAAAATTGTAATGGAAAACGTGAAAACGCACTCTGGTACTTCATAATCCGACTTGAATCGCGCGAGATACGATGCAACTTTCGATTGGATCCTCAATTAATAACGAGCACTGTCAGGTCAGAGTGTGTCCGCAAGCGTTGTTATCAGTTAGCAATTAATTACTTCATTCGGTAAATGGGAATGATCGTTCTGCCCTAGCGGACGAACTGTTAACGACGATAATTAATCAGACTATCGATCTGCATAATTGTTAATTGATGAAATCAACAGTTAGCAGATATTTTCATATGCTATCGCGAAGCGTCACCCGCCCATTGGTTTAATTCATATTTAACGTACAACACTGAATTCTGTAGGAATGCGCGAAACACTCGATCTTTCGAAATAGAATCGCATCGAGAGAAACATTCAAGCGTAAATACCAGAAATTGTTTGACAACTGCATTTCTGCTGAATTTCTCCGTTTGTAAAGGTCTTTCGATGACGAAACGCATCATTATTTTCCGTATACATATATAATTCTATTCATTGATCTTTTTTTCTCCTTTCTCTCTTTATACATATATACATATTGCGAAAAATTATCTTAAAAGGAATTATATAGTCCTTTCTTTGAACAGTTTGAAAAATACGAATTTGAATAACATATTTATTAGGGTAACATAATTATGGAGATAAATGTAAAATATTTCAAGACTCTAACAAATTAAATTTCAAGAATGCAAATATATAAATTTTATTTAATCAATAATTAATTAAAAAGTATCAACCTCGTAGATGGAATTCATTAAGAAATTCCATTAATTATGAAAAAATTATGAAAAAAGTACAATTTCATAGAGATAGTTAATTATAAATTTACGTGTATAAATGATTACTCGGAAAGAGTCGCACGTAGTGCACGTGTGCTTATTCTGCATTAAGGCATTTAATTATCAAGCTTTACCATTTTGAAATACTCGACTCGACAAACTTAAAGGATTTAACGGAAATTTTTTAATTTGATTCTTACCACCATTTAAAATTGCATTCAATATGTAACGAAACAGAGCTTCGATATCGCGCGAAAAAAGGGTAAAGAAAGAATAAACTTTAATAGCTACACTTAGTAGTTTTTATTACTTTTACAATTCATATTTCGCGGAAAGAGAGTCCCCAAGTCGTTATAAGAACAATACCTATATTCAGTTATCACCGTAAAAAGAAAGAGTCGTAATATTGCATTTTAACACCGCATTGCGTTTGTGAACGATAATGCAGCGAGCAATTTTTTTTCCAGAGTACATAAATATCGCGTTCCCGTTTCCTATATAAGTACACAGAATTCCATCTATCGATAGAGATTCAATTTATCAATTATAAATCGACAACATGTCTAAAAGAGGAATTAAACGCGCATCGATAAATGATGAATGTACATACCTAATTCATTCGGCGTCAACCGTATACACGCGATTTATTTGCGTATGTTTCTCGCGTTCCACGAAACGAGCGCGTTCGTTTAAAATACGGCAGTACATTGTTATCCCTCTGAGTATTAGCACCGTGTTCTTCTCTTTCCGCTTTTTTTCTCGTACTAACACGCGACAAATGCCCACGCTTAATTTCGCCGTTTTGCGAAAGAGATCCGGCACGACGTGGTATTATGACTTCAAACAGCGTGAGCTTAGGATCGATATGGCGAAACGAAAATAGAACTTATGGCGCAAGGAGAGAAATACACCGGCAAAATGCGAGATACACACAGTCGTATCGAGACCGGCGTGGATGTAATAAAGTGTACCGTTGAAAAGTATCATTCCTCTTCTGAGCGCGCGAGAGACCATCTCCCCTCCAGAGGTTTTAAAAGCGTTTTAAAAGCCGCTGGGAGATTGAAACTTCTATACGTTATGAAAAAAATATCTCTCGCGTATGGTATTGTGCCAGGGAGCTTGAAAGAAAATTTGGATCACTTTAGGGAGTGTGTGCGACATTTTCTAGCACGAACAATGAAATTTTTCGGAACGGCGAGAGTAAAGAGGAACGGACGAACGAAAAAAAAAAAAAAAAAAAAAAAGCGAAAGACGAGAAAGAGAATGCAAAGTTGCTTCGTCGTTTCAATGGCACCTCGTTCGACGGCACCTAGGATCGATCGTGGTAAAAATAGAACGCGAAATTGATCGGTTCGTTTTAAACATCGGTTTCATATTCGGGTGCTATCATATACATATTCGTCATATTCGTGTCTGTTTACGCGATTCTACGATTGCACGATTAAGTGGTATCCGTATTTCAATTCTCGTAAAAAGCTAAATGCATATGCAATTTTTGTGCAGTTTACAATTTTTTGCTGTCAAAATTGTTTTCGAAATTGTACGAAACATATACATATGTATCTATATGTTTCTTTCAAATAGTGAAAGGAGACATCTTTCTCCCTTTTTATCTTCCACGTACACAATTTCTCTTTTTTTTTATCTTTCTCTCTGATATTTTATATATCGTCTAAAGATCTAAATTCCCCGGTCAGTGGTTACGAAAAGCGGCACGGATTGCTCTATCACTCACTCGTAGATTTCATAAATCTTGAAAAACGAAATAATATATAAAGACCACGGTGTTAGACGGCACGCAAAGTTCGCGCGAGTGAGCGCCGTTTGTAAATATTAAAACACATACTATGTTCATCGCTGAGAATCGTCCAGAATTTTGACACAGAAAGAATATTTTTGCGAGGGAAGATATCATTTTTGTGCAGACAGCGTGCTGTTCGCTAAATAAGATTGAGATAATCTCGGAATAGAAGTAAAAGTTGGAAAATTTTCGAGATTCTCTTTTGAAAGAAATAATATTAATAAATCAGTGACATACTAATTTGTAATATATCTCCGATAACTTTTGAGGTAATTCATCGTTATTAGTATATGAACATTTACGGTATTATAAATGTATCGGAGAATTGAATATTAATGCGCGGGATTCCCGGCTTATATCCTTCTTCAATTGCATTAATAAGCTAAAAAATACGATGAAGGTGACTAAATGTAAAAATTGCTTCAATCTTTCTTGGAAACGTGATGAATAAATTAGACAAATTAAAACTTGCCGCTCGGGATGCAATTGTTATTAATCCTTTTTCAATTACATTCTAAGGATATGATTAATTCTACTATTTTAAATATTTGCATACAATTTTCGTATATTTTTCATCTGCATCTCCATTTATTTTCAATAATATAAAAGAAAAAAAATTATTATTTTTCGTTCGTTCAAACTAGTTTCTGCAGACGAAATGAGCGGCGAAACCAATAATTGCTACTCACGTTTTCGATTTTTATCTCTCTCCCCCTTTCTGTCTCTCTCTCTCCTATCATATCACAGCTCCCGAATACAAAACTAAGTATCTATAGAATACTCAACTTGTTGACCCACTTGAGAGATTTGCTTCTATTGTCAGGACTGCGCTGCAATTCGCGTTTGGTATTCGCTCCCAATCCCTAATTCATGATCATGCGCCTTATTCTAACATTCTAACAGAATTTATAATAGATTATGTGTTGACAGCATACGGTTAGACAGAATTCCTACCCAAAACTCAAAAAGAAGCCGACCTTTGTTCTAAACGAAACGAAACTGTTTCGCAAAGCACAGGAGCAGTTGCCAGGCATAAAACTTTTTCGTAAAGAGATGCACTAGACTAGAGAATGCTCTTTGAATAATTACTGTCTGAAATTCTTCTTACATTTCCCACTTAAAACTTAGCAATCGCCAAATTCCAAAAAACTCTGATACAGACATTTGTTTCATTAAATTAAAAATGTAGCAAATTTTACTTCTTATATGTGGTAATTTTTATTTACTGAGTTTTATATAATTTATTGTAGATGGATACGAATCCTTTCAAGAAAATAGCAACCATAAGCAAACATTTTCTTCAATTAAAGTGAGAAAATTGAACGAAGAAAATGTTATTTGCACTTGTAAAACTTAATTAATCGAAAAACAGTGGATTTATCGATCACTCGAATCTCTCCGACTATTTTACTACTTTAAGAATATTATCAAAAAATCGATTTTAAATTGTTGAAAGAATTATTAGAGAATTATGATAAGAAGAAAGTAGAGAGGATAAGCGTGTGGAACGCTTTTTTAAACAACGTGTGTTATATCAAAGTAGCAACGAAAACCGATTTTCAGTAGTGATAGCAAAATTCGATAAAAGACCGAGACATTTCTGTCCCACGGGCCTTCCGCGGTTACGTTATATAAGAAATTGCGCAGTCACAGCCATACGTCGCGCAAACTAGATCGAATAGAAGAAAAGCGAGAACTCACCTCAACATGACCAAGCTCACTTTCCGCTCGCATTCACACGCGATCCGCGTCTCTACCACCGGTACCGTTTTCTTCCATTCGTCGTCATAAATCGGAGAATGAAACCCTTCTCTTTTTCTCCCCTCCCACCCCCTCTCGGTCGCGAAAGAATTGAGCGCGGAGAGAAACCGATCGGGAGAGAAAAAGTTCGCGGAAAAAAAACTCGCGATCACTTGCGATACATTCACCTGCGTCACCCCGCGAGCGTTTAATTTTTTTTCCTTTTCTCTTTTTTTTTTTTTTTTTTTTCCACGAGTTGTGCCGGGGAATTGCGTTTCTCTCTCGTTACCGGTAACGATGAGAATGAGAGGGATGCACGCGGAGCGACGTGTGTACTCTTTCGTTGCGAGCGAGAAGGGCCAGACGAGTCGGCGCGCGGCGCAACTTACCCCACTCGCGGCTCGGAGCTGACTGAACGCGACCCCCGAGCGAGAGGGTGCGGGGCGAGAGAGAGAGAGAGAGAGAGAGAGAGAGAGAGAGAGAGAGAGAGAGAGAGGGTTCGACGTAGGGCGCAGATCGGCGCCGACACGCGAGATCGCGACCTGTCGCGGATACGAGGTGCCCTTATCGATGTTGGTATAACGAAAGACGCTTATCTCGAGTCTGATTCTGCTACAAAACGAACGGGAGAAGACGAAGCTTTCTCATTTTCTACCTCTTCGGTGATTTAGTTGAAATCTCTCTCGCGCGGAGTCGTATATTTTTAAATGGATCTTGGTCTCGAATTTCTTATTATAACGTCGAGTTTAGGAAATCTTAAAATAATCGTTTTTAGCCTGAAAATAGTGTACGGTACATTATAAAAATGAAGGAATATATGCGAAATTTATTCTCTCCGTAGGTTTCTTAAATAGAAATTTTATTTTCGGCATGAAAAATTTTATATAGCGTCTTCTATATTTACTCGTTAAAACTAGAACCAGCTATCCTTCTTATTACGTATAATCAGGAAACATGTATAATGTTAAAGTCGATATCACAAGAATATCAGTTACTAAATGCATTTCGTTATCGTTGATATGCAAATCTACCTCTGTGTATATATAAACCAGAAACAGTCACCTGTCGCGTTTGTAATTACCGCAAATACAGAAATGCTCTCGATGTATAGTATTCGCGTAACTAATTGCAAATGATATTAACACGGTAGGTACTGTTAAGCGTAAATTAACAATCGCTTTGATGCTGCGTGACATTTTCCAGAAATCTAATATTTCTTCGTAACCTACGAAGCGACGCGTTTTGCTTGGCTTAACGAATAAATGCGTTATACATTTGGCGTAGAATCAAAGAGATAAATTAAGGACTTTTCGAGGTTCGACGCACAAACATTTGTGTCTGATATATTTTAGCAAAAGGAATTATTCATTTTCCGCGCGTACCCAGGATTGCAAATTTTATTCTCCTGGCACGAAAAATGTTCCCCTTCGTTTACTTGCCAAAAGTTCCATTTTCGTAAATGATATATGATGGATAAAAAACGAGAAAAATATTTAACACTATACTCTTCCATGAAAAATTCTATTCGAAAGTCGAACGATAATATAAGTTTAAAACAAACATCTCTCGCGAGTCGGATTTTTGCAAATGCATATTGTATCTGCATCTACTCTTTCGCCCAGATACATATCACGCGCTCTAAATAATAAACGCAACTATGCATGTAGTTACAGGCCATTCGACGCAAAAATAATGTCGCGGATAAAAATCTTAAGTTGCGTAAGCAACTCGAGGCTCTCCGTCTCGTGCTTGCACTCGTGAAACAACCAAACACGCGTACTTAGCACTCGGAGTGCATCGTTACGCGAAAGTATGCCATCCCAAGTTTCGCGCTCGTCGGGTTCAATCTCATTATGTGCCTTGCTCTCTACCGCGGAGAAACAGCGCTTCTATTACGCGCTTCTTTGCAGCAGCAACATATCGTGACTGTATCTACATTTTACTGGATCTCTATATATGTATCTCTGCGAGAAGAATTTTTTTTCACCCCCGATATTCTTTGAATCGCGCGTTTCTTGTATCGAAATCTTTCGTAGAATTTAAAAATCTGCGCATTGCATATTTCGTAGTATTCGAGAATCCACGACGTATTGCAAATGTATTGAAATTCTTGGATAGTGCGTCGACGTTATCAGAGCACACTATTTATAATTCATTTATAATTCACTGAATCTATTAACATTTGCAAAAAAAAAAAAATACTATTATTATTATCAGAGAAAATTCTATTTAATTCTCTTCATTAAAATAAAAGCAAATATGTTGTGTTTAATATACGACGCATTTGCTTGATAACACATCCGGATATTTCATTTTAATTTTATTGCATCAATACATGCGGCACAATTTATGAACATGCGGTATTCAATTTATGGGACGAGCGCAACGGGCATAAAATAATAATAAAATAATAAAATAATAAGAAATAGATAGAATAGAATAATATGGAGAATAATAGGTAAAGAAATAATACAAAGATGAAATAACAAAATAATAGAAATAATGAAATCATAGACAGATTGACATTAGTGAATGCGGATATCTTTTTTCAACGCGAGAGAACAATACACAATTCTCGCACGTGGCTTGTTTTTACCTAGCGAAATAATATTATCACGGACAGGGAAGCGATATTTCGCGTATCTTGTCGTACAAGTAAATGAAGAGAGCGGATTTATAGCGCACGTGAAATGTTTAATATCGCGAAATCTATCGAGTCTATACTCGTTCCTTTAGAAGATAAAAACCGATCGAAGTAGTCGATTTGTCAGGTATTCTCAGGCTGAGATTAATAGCGACGCGACATAAAAAGAGGAAGGCTCTTAGCTTCGGGACAGCTAGAGAAAGAAAAAGGAGAACCTATTCTTTCCGGATGACTTGTAACATTCTGTGTAAAACGTGCTGCTGTAACGCGAGGAAATTTAAAAAAATTAAAAAATTGCAACGCGCAAAATAAAACAACCGAGAGATATATTCGAAGAATCTTGGATGCTATAAGGACGATAAATGTGGGCAATTTAAAAAAGGAAGCGTTAAAAGTTAACGGAGAAGCGAGAGTGGAAGAGATTAAAGAAAATAACTTGACTAGATATATATTTTCTTCGGCGTTATAATTAGTTGACTCACTTTAAACTTATCTTCTCGTTGCTTGAGGCCTTAATTAGCTCGAAGATACTAATTTTAATGGAGCTTACGGGATAATCTTGTTGCCCCTCGTCGCTCTTTTATCAGGTCGTAGCTTATCCCTTTTTGGAAGTGACGATGTGATGTCGCACCTACGGAAAACATACACCCATCGAAAAAGACTTTCCAGTTAAGGTCTTCATAGTTATGGGCGTCTGAATCTATTGCCAGGATTAACCTTCAGGCAAGATATATCGCGCACTATTGAAGCAACAAGATGATGCTTCGTCTTCCATCGTTATCCTCAGCGATATATAGGTTAAAGTGCATCATTTCCCAGCCGATGTGACTTTTAAGCAGCGCCTCGTCGATTTCAACCGATACGAGACGAAGTCTTTCAGAATACGCTTAATAACAGTTTTTACGTCAAGCGAAAATCTACATTATCTCTTTAAAATTGAAATATTCAATGTTACAAATTCCTTGGAATACGAAATCACGTGTAAAATTCATCATTACCTTATCAAATTGCAAACTTAACTCTCAATTCTTTCTCTCTTACCTCCAAGTTTTTAACTTTCAAAGAAAGAAAGTATATAACGAGATAACTGTATAATGAAAGAATTTTTGCACTGATTATATAATTGTTATATAATTGAAATAGTTGTAATTTTTTATCGATCTTGAACTTACACCGACGTTAACAATTCAAATGATCGCTCGGATAATATGTATGATCCAATTATGTGATGAACTGACCAAATGACACCCAGGCCATCACTTCAGATTAGGGTCGCCCACGAGAAGATCCATATTTGACGACACATTCTTGTTGGAATTAGCTAGATTGAGTCGCATCCGGAGGCCGCAAGCGTAATGAAGTTCGCGGAGCTGCCGCTACGTGACACTAATCAACAATGATTTCATAAATGTCGATTAATGCTAATTATCAGTTCTAATTATTTCACAAGATGTGACGGAAATTGCGGAAGAAAAACCTTCAATCTTATTGCACATTACACGTGTATTTATATGACGTCAAATCGTAACTACACTTGTTATATTACGATAGATATACGTATATAATATAATATGCGTAACAATATATATAGAATATATTGTAATATATCTCATACCTATCGTATTATATGATCGTAATTATGATAGATATCATAAGTTTCATTCACGTATATCTTTTATTAAAACAAATACTTTTCGTGTCATTATATCATGAAATATTGATTCTTAAACTGGATTATTCACAGTCCGTGCTTTCTTCATATGAATATTTCACATGTTGTATTTTACACGTGTCGCGCGGCGCACGATATGTTCGTGCATGTTGACGGATTCAACGCGAGGGGCTTATTCAGGCCATGCAAACAATCCGACTTACGTGCGTCTTTACTATCTGCACACGAGCGACCCGATCTCGGGAAGCTAAATACTGCCTAATGATTGCCTGACTTCGCGTTAATTGAAGACGCTTTGCGAACTTCAACCAGACCGTGCAGAGATTAACGAGTTTACCTTCGATTATCTAGCATAATCGACGCGCGCGATCGCTGTTTAATATCCGCAAATAAATCCGACAATTGCGAGAATTCCGTTAGATTGGATCTACTTTGATCTTCGCAATGAGCGCATTAAAATGTTAATATTTTAAAATTATTACAAAAAGTCACGTGTCGAAAAATTACTCTCATTTTTCAATGCATTGTATTATTGTCCGCGTAGAAATATTTCCATTGTCTCGCAAAACGCAGAAAATAGACCGCCTGGAAAAGTACAGACGAAATGCGTCTATTTATTACATAAAGAACACGATTGTGTCTCGTAGATGTAGACGGTAGCAAGTGAAAGTACTCGATCTCCGTCGCACACTCAGAACTTTTTTTTTCCGTAAAATATAGAGCAATCATAATCTAGCAGTCATTTATGACTTCTTACAAATTGAATCCACGAGAGACTTTTCGATGAGTTTTGATTGCTCGCTTGTTCGTATCTCCGCGGCTGACATTTAATTAGAATTGAGGAATTTTTAAATAAAATTCAGAAATATTACTCTAGGAATTTTTATGTGAAAAATGTGTATTTTAAAAATTGAATATGCTAAAACCAAAATAATTTTTAAATTCTGGCGATTATAGTAGAATAGTGAAGATTTTTTATATTAACTCAATTTTTAATCTCTCAAATTAAATTGATCAAAATCAATAAAATTTTACTTGAAACAATTAAAATTACACGATACACAAAAATATTTTAAA